TTCCAGCTGGCCTTGGTGAGCTCCCATTAGATCAGTGCCACTGTCTCTATGAGTGGACGCACCCCTCGCAGTCCTGACTTCCTTGCTCATGTTCTCCCTCCTTCTGCTCTTCTTCTGGGCCTTGGGAGCTCAATCCAGTGCTCCAATGTCAGTCTCTATTTCTGTGTTGAACAATATTTGATTTGCTTTTTCTACTGAGTACTCTGGGTTATTTATGTAATTTGGATAATAACTATTAATTATATACTGCACAAGTTTATTCTCCTGTTCAGGAGGTAGGCTCTGCTCTGTTGACTGTTTTCTTAGCTGTGAGGAACTGTAAGTTTTATTTAGTCCTATTTTTTCTATTTTTACTTGTGGAAAGGAAAGATATGATCTTGTTTCTGAAAGCTCTGTGTTCTAAAGTCTTGAAGTGTTCCAACTATGTTTTATTCTAATAGTATCTTAGTTACAAGTTGTATTTGCATTTTCAATGCAGCTCATCCTAATTTTTATGTAACTGTGGAGAGATCTCTATCTCTGCTTACAAAGACCCAGCTTCTAGAACCACTTATTGAAAAGTCCATCTTTTCTCCTACTCATGTTCTTAACACCATTTTTGAAGGTCAGTTACTGCAGATGCACACATTGACTTCTGATATTCTCATTCTGCTCCACCAACTATGTGCTGTTCATTTTGCTGACACCGTGGGAGATGTTTCCAAACAACACAGCTTTTCAGGCTGAGGTATGGCTACTGCTCTCTGAGTTTACCTAGTTTTACAGTAAGAAGGGAGGCAATTAAAGAGAAAACTTGCATTTCAAATAGGGAAATAGAAAGTTACCTTGAAGACAAGACACCAACAAAGAATCCAGACGTTAAACAAACAAACATCAAACAAAACAAAAGAAATTTCATTTGAAAGGAGAGAGACTGCCTTATTTATACCACCAAAGGGATTCTCAGCTCTGAAATAACCATTTAGGATTTGTTTACCCCAAAGTTCAGTCACTAATGTGTGCAGAGGCCATTACAGCTATGGTAAAAAGGACCAGACTACATCTTAACCTAGCAGTAGAGTGTACAGCATCATTCATAGAGTTCTGATTTTATAAGGATTCAAAATGTAAAATGAATGGGTGATGGAAGCTTGAAATGAGGCTCCAAAAATCTGTGAAGGCTACAAAAATTTGTGACAAATTTTGATTCTCTACAAGGATGTCTTGAGAGGGTGTTGGAGGAAACTGTTTTGAAGTTTAAGTCACAATGGATAACTCAGGATGTTGGAGGTGCCATGACTGTTAGATATTTGCAAAGAAAATCATGGAGTGGAACAGGGTCCAAGGAAGGCTACATGTATTCCAGGTACCAGGGGGCTTGGTCTGCAAGAACCTTGGTGACACCACACACTTCAGGTATTTGACAGAGTGACTAGGCTTGGTGTTTTTCCTGTTGGGTTTTTGGTTTGCTTTGGTCAGGTATTTCTTTGTTATCCTCCTATCCATCCATTTTTAATAAGAATGCTTACTTTGTGACATTGAATATTGGAAAAATATAACTTACTTGTTTACATTTTTCCAGAGTGCTCAATTATGAAATGGTTTTGAATCCCAGAAGAGACTTTTGTCTCTGAGTGGTATTGATCCTGCCTGTTAAGACTATGAGAATTTTGAAGTTAGATTGAAATGTTTAAAATTATGAAATGTCCATGAGCCCATAGAGACAAGGGGTGGATTGCAGTGATTTTAAAATGATGTAGTTCTCAGCGTAGTTTTGTGGCCTTGTAGGCTTTCTCCCATCTACTTTACCATGCCTATTGTTGATGTCCTTGTTCAGTTCATGTCTAGGCAGCCTTGTTGATGAAATTTTTACAGGTGTAGCTTCTGACATTTCTAGTATGAGCAATCTTACATCAAACTCCCTGAAAATCAGGCTTTTACAATCTTTCTGTCTCTGCTTACACCAAGATCCCTGAGCCTTAGGTACCAGAGTGATTTTATAGATACAGCCATTGGGATTGGGAGCCATAGCTTTATATTTTGATACATTGTAGGTATTGCAATTACATTATAATCTCAAAAAAATAACAATTTTTAAAAAGCTGCTGTATTTAGGTATCATGTTGACAATGCGTGGGTTGTTGATAGTTGTTCCTCATTGTCAACTTGACTGGTTTTTAGGATAACCTAGGAGTCAAGCCTTTGTGTGTATGCCTGTGTGACTTTTTCTGGAGAAGTTTAACTGAGGAAGAAAGACTCACTTTGAATATGTTCCTGGTGTCTAGCTGGGATAAAAAGGGAGAAATGAGCAGGAGGTCTTGATGAGCATCAGCATTTCTCTGTCTCCGCTCCCTGACTGCAGACCCCACGTGACCAGCCTTCCACTCTCCCACTGACATGCCTTCTCCACTATGAAATAAAACCTCGAATTGCTTTTGCCATTATTTTGTCACAGCGTTAGGCAAAGTATCTAATACACATTCCTGACAGGAAGCAACAGTCTTCTCTCATAGTCCTCCCTATCTTTCACTATTCTCTATTCCTTTTCCTAAGTTTAGTTATCCTACATTTTGGGGGCCGTGTCAGTAGTTAGAATGCCTTTTCTGGAAAGCCATGTGACTAACCCCTTGTTAAAAGAGAAAAAAAACTTTGTACAAATATCCCCTTATCAGTGAGGTCTAATAAATTGACAGTTCAAAGTTGTAATATAATATACACTGCTCTTTCTCAGCTTTACATTGCTGTCTTTATTTCTTTATTTTATAGCATCTGTTTTCTCTTGCCAAACTGTGATAACTTACTTAATTTTATCATTTATTCTATGTCTTTATTTATTAGAACATATTAGAATATAAACTTACATTTTTACATTAATTTGTTTACTTATTATATACATGTATTACACCACAGTGCACATGACAGAGAACACTATTCAGATGTCAGTTTTTGCCTTCACCAAGGCTCAAACTTAACTCAAAAGACATGACTACAAGCACTCTTAACTACTGAGTCAACTAGTTGACCTTATATGCTAATATTTTTCATTCTCTTGAATGTTTCAAGTGATTAAAATGGGAACTCCTAAGTACTAGGAACTCAGTGAACAGGTTGAAAGGAAAGAACAATAATTATACAATATATTGGAACTTTTTTCTTTGTTCACCTACTTATCACCAAACCATAAATATTTTAAAGACAGAAACATTTTGCTTTGTGGATATTTACACCTTAATACATTTCTTCAAAACAATGGCTATGTAATAAATATTTGCTAAGTATAAGGATTCATTTCTCACCTCGTCATCCCACAGGGTATGAATTATAGCGTGTAAAACCGGAGGAGACATTCAAGATTCATTGTAAAGTATAACAGTATCTTAGAGCTTCAAACTTGAAGAGTTCAATGTAAACCAGTATGGTAAGATCTCTTATTCAGGTTTTATTTACAAGAATTCAGGGTCAGAAAAATGTCACAACAGCATTTGTAAAGGCATTTGCTATCAAGCACGACAGCCTGAGCCTAATCCTTGAAACTCGCAGTGCGCAAGGAGGAAACTAATTCCTACAAGCTCTCCTCTGATCTCCACATGTACACTGTGATTTATGCATATGCATATATACATGAATAAATTTTAAAAGACTCAAGAATTCACTGTAGTTTATTTTATCATTTTCACCTGTGCTTATATCTGAGCTATTTAATTTAGTAAGTTGGAGAGCCATGATGCACCATGCCTTATTTAACTTCTCTTTTTGTTTCCTTTCTCAGAGCTCTTCCTGCCATGATGCAGTGGGTCCGCACCCAGAAGCCAGGAGAGAGTGGCATCAATATTGTCACTGCTGATTTTGTAGAACTTGGTGATTTTATCAGCACTGTCATAAAACTCAACTATGTCTTTGATGAAGGAGAAGCCAACACTTGATATTACTCTTTGGAGTGTCCATGAGTAAGATAGAGAAGCCTCATTGTATTAGACATATTATCAATACACCCTCTGAATTTCCTATTCCGCCTAGTCTCTGAAGGAATTAAAGATGGTAGTGAGTGGGAAAGAGGGTATATCGTGTCTTCAGTGATTGTAACTACATTCTGCATTACTATAAATATGTCATTTCCCATTTGGTGAGCAAAATCTACTACTAGTGTTAGGAATAGAAAAGACCAGTGAATTTTGTTTTTGAGAATTAATGTTTGTGATATGTAACTCATGAGTGTTTACTTGACTGCATTTTCTAATTTCAACCTTGGGCTCCTTTACTATTCACACCCTTTACCCTTTCCAGTCCCTCTCTCTTGCTCGCTCTTTCTAATTAGATGCTATATGGGTCTCAAAACAATTGAATACCCAACATAATGTGTATTACATTGTTGTACTGAAATGTGTTTGTTTTGTGAGACTTGATAAACTATTCCATAGTCATCTGCAATTGGGCAATTGTAGCTAATTCTTGATTGTAGAATATATGCATCAAATCTGTTTCCCTGCATCAGTAATATTGGCAGTCATTAGTAATTTTTGTGTTCTATGAAAACAATGGTGTTGCAGAGTATTTCTGTGTGAGGCAGCTATGACTACTGTGCAAAAAGATTGTTTGGAAAGACTGTGAGCATCAACTTTATATTTTAAAAAGAATAAAAGGAGAAGACTGTATTCAGAGATAGTTATAATTTTAATTCAGCAGTCTTAAATAATAGTGCCCTGCAAATGTCAAGCTACAATTGTGTGGCAATCAGAAAAAAAGTTAAATCCATAAACACTTCTCTTAATAATTTTAATTTTTCTTGAAAATTAAAAAGAAAGACTGTAAGGCTCTCCTGTAAATTTGGGATTCCAAATGCATAATTCTAAAACCCAGATTATGAAAAACAGTTTTAAAGAAACGTCATTTATGGGTATAACTTAAAAAGAAGAAGGTGAAGAAATGCAGAGGGAATTCCAATAATGTTTTTGAGACTTGATCCATAGTCTCTAAAGTTCCTTCACAAATTCTTTCAGTAGGTGTGATTTCTCCAGACTGACCTTCAGTAAGTAGTCTCGGTTCCATGCTGCTTGCGGTGAGAAAAAGGCCAAGGAGCTGAGGTCTCACAAAGCTTCAGTGGCAACCCTTTTGGTAACACAAGAAACACAATGTTAACACACTTTTGAGTGCTGTATTCTACTTGTGTCTTTGTAGTATTTGGCAACTCCGAAAACAACCTTCAAAGGGCACAATCCCCCTCTCTATATGTTTCGCATGAAGAACGTGAGGGATTTATTAAAAACTATACAATTGCTAACGTTCCTAAAATTATGGATTATTTTTATCTTCACACATAGAAATAATCAACCTTCAGTAGTCTCCTGGGATAATGGATTTCCATGCATATCATACTCCTGGAGAAACCAAAGCATGCCCTTGGCTTTTAATTAATTTAAATGGAGAACATATGAGTTAATCCCTTTGACCTAGATAAGGAGTTTATTTAAAGTTTACATCTCAATATTATAAATAACCAAAAGCTGACTTAAATTATAGATACTTTTCATTAGAAAACTGCACTTTCTAACAACTACAGAAAGTGAAAAAAGATTGATATACCAAATAGAATGTTTGTGGGAAATGTGGTTTCTTCTTAGAATAAGTAATGTGACTATGCATGTAGCAGACAAGTTTATAATTTAAGTTGTGTGTATGTCTTTTGTCACACATACTCTGGTGCAAGCAAGCTGACACCAGGATACACAAACATACACAGATTATATGAAAACATAGGATAACTGTCTTTAAATAAAAACACTGATTATTAATAAGTAGTATAACTTAAAGATGAATCCCAGAGCCAGGCATGGTAGTACATGCCTATAGTCCCAGAATATGAGAGGCAGGAGAATTAGTGTTTCTTTGAGGGTAGCCTGGGTTATGCTTTGAGCTCAAGGTTATCCTGGGCTACACAGTGAGATCCAATCTCAAAAATCCAAACAATAAAATAAAAATATCCTCCTTTAGCAATGTATGGAAAATGTTACAAAACGTTTGAAAATGCAGTAGTTTATCATATAAAATACTTTTTATAAAACCATCACAGCTTGGGACTTAATATTCACTAAGCATATTTTTCTTCTTTGTTTATCTATCCTCTGCAAGTCTATTATCTGTCTGTTTCACTTGATCTTTTGTGCAGATGAACAGGAACTCTGTTTAACCAATTGTTGACATTAGTCTCTATAAATTTGCTTTTGGAATCAATCTGCTCTGTGATTACTCAATTTTGATGCCCCATGAGCATCTATAGCCAAGTACAGTTGCAATGACACAATTATTTAACTTTACAATATGACAAAAAGAGATTCTTAATCTGTTAGCCAAAAATGAATGCAATGTAAAAGTAACTTTATTGTATTTTCTTGACTTTGGATGTTTTCCTACAGTGTTAGCACAGAGTCAACTTTGTGATATTGTTTGTGTGTACTAGGAAGAATAAAAATAATGAAGCATTAGACTAAAATTACTTAACTAGGAAAGAGGGTTTGTTTGTTTGTTTGTATTGTAGATTTTGCCATTAGAGATGCTTACACAGAACTTTGTTAGCAAGAAATTACTTTCAGTCTGAACTTATGATTTCCATATAGATATACAGTTAGTTTCTAGATAATAAGCACTGAGATAAATGGACTTGCCTTAACTTCTAAATAAGGACTAAGATTAGAAATAAACCCTGAGAGAGTTCACTACACGACATTTCTGGGAAAGAGAATGGAGATAAGATTCCTTTGGGTGTCTTCTGGTCATTGGCCCTGCTGTGGAGCACATTCATAGAGCAGACTCATTTCGTAGAGAAATGATGGTATGTAATTCAATCAGATCCTTAACTCTGCTTTGTCTTTCCAGAGACCAGGGAGCATGAGAGCTACACATAGGCTTCAAGTGTAGTTATGTCTTGATGTACTTTTTGTTTTGTTGACACTTTATGTTATAAATCCTACAAAGCAAAAAATAAAATAAATAAATAGCTAAAATCCAAGTTTTACTCAACATATGGCAATGAATCCAAGGAGTGAGTGAAATGGGGGAAAATACTCAATAAAATCATTTTTACATTTGCTTTCCTGTCGATTGCTCTGAAGGACCAATATAGCAAATATTTCTGCTATTACCATTTATGTCTCCTTCTTACTACACAGAGAACACGAAGAACGAGGAGGCATCCTTTAAAAGCCTTTAGGGAATTCTATATGGTAAGCTCAATGTTCACTTGCAGCCATATTGGGGAAACTCAAACAGAGAATGTATCAGAGCATAAAATATTTGACGACAACACACACACACACACACACACACATTGTTGAAGTTGCACTCAGTCAAATTGGTTTTATTAAAGTTTTAACTCTTGAAATCAATATATTCTTTGTTATCAGGCTTGACTATAGATCCAGTTTTTCAAGGCTTATGGGGAAAATAATTATAAAACCAATAAAAAGTGAGACCACCAGAAAATAGAACCATCTGGCAGTAGTGCTCTATACTGTCAATTAACCTCAAGATACAAGATCTAATGCGAACTTGAATATAAATGTTTGAACGAGTACACATCTTCACTCAAAGGTGTTTGAATCCTCTAATGTTCTGAGGTGTTTGTGGCAGTGCCACCCGTCCGGTTCCTATCTGTTAGAATTACTGACTGGAGAGTTGGAAGTCTCAGGAAATGCATGTATCTGTTAGTTTTTAGTTCTACCATTTTACAAATGTCTAATCACACAATATTCTAACTTTTCTTTGGTTGACGAACCAAAGAAGAGATGAATAGGTCAAGTGCTTGCATCCTGAACAGCTAAGAGAAAATAACACACAGTGTCTGTCCCTCAGGAGATGCTAAATAAGATGTCTAAAGAATTTTCTTTTGCTGTATTTTAGTCTTTTTCACTAGTTTTCAGTGACAACATGGTGTGAATGCTCTATTTGCTATAACTTATTGGTGACCCTGTGAAATGTACAGTTTAAAATAATGTCCTATTTGTTTGTTTTCCCAATGATAATAATAAAATATTCTATAGAATTTGTAAAAGGTGTTAATAGAAAATTGTGTAATTTTTATTTTACTTGTGATACAATTTTGTAGTTCTTAGTTCTGAGCATACATTTGTATGAGTCAAAATTGTCAGTGGTAAGTGTAATTATATTGTATCTTCTTAACAATCAAACTTATCCTAAAGAAAAAGGGCACATCATGACTAGCCTTAACTCATTGTCATTTTTGCTTTGTTTTGTTTGGGCTTGGCAGAATTGCTGCAATTTGAATTTTTTTTTGCAAAAATCATATTTTTTCTAAAGATGTCACTTAAGCAATCTTACGAAGTATATGCTTTAGAAAGAAGCTGAATTATCACAACTCCACTGTCCAGCTTGCTCATGAATTACGTTTTTTGAAAGTACCAAATATCACTTAGTTCACCAACTTCATTATATACCAGAAGACTAAATTCACTTTATTTCCATGAGCTTCAGAATCAGCACCAAAATTCCAACACAGTATTTTGAAATGGTAGATCATTTCTACTTTAATGATAAGGTTTTCATAGAAAGTCATTTCTCTAACCCACTGTTTTTGAAGTTTGGATCATATGAAATCAGATGGACTGCCTTGGACCTATGAGAATCACAGTTACATTGACATGAGATGATTCCAATCTGATTTGCTTCTCAACAAAATCGATAACAACGCTCATCTTTTTCTCTTTCTGTGTGCAACAGGAAACTCCCAACCAGTCTACAAAGGGGGTCATATTGAAAGCAAAACTTTAATCTATTTTAGGCTTAGACTTTTGAACACTGCTTCCTAATTTTTTCCATTCTTGGTTATTTATTTTTAATGGTTACAGTTGCCACATGAAATAAAGAACAGCAGTGAAATTAAGATCTCAGACAAATAATATGTTATTGAGTTTCCTATATAGTTCATTAGAAAAGCTTACACTAAAATTCTTATTTACATAAGGTTCAATTTTAAATGAATGAGTTCTTCATTGCTTGCTTTAATCTGGTAACACTATACATAATTCCTCCCAGTCTTTTTCAGCTGGGTGGCTGTGAGCTCTGAGATCAATCTCCTATATTAACACAACTCATAAAATCTGTTGTTTTGGTTCCTTTGTGAAAAAAAAATATTGTTTTACATGAAGCATATGAATGCTTTTCAAGAATCATCCCAAAAATCATTTGAAAAATCAAACAAGTGTCTTCATTAGATGAATGCTACCAAATTCAATTTTTCCCTATAATGGCTTACTGGAGGACTAGACTCTACCTAATATTTCTGAAAATAGAATCCCCCAGTTATCGAGACAACCAAACACATGGCACACGTTGAAAACTTTCCTTGGAAAGGGGAGTGGCATCTAACTCAAGACCAAAGCTTGTTCTAAAATTCCGTGTGTTTTTCTTTGAGAGAGGAATCAAATTAATCCATCAGCCCACTCCATCTCATTAACACCTTAAAATTATTTTGTGAATTACAACTAGTCATCTATGTGACTGTAGAATATTTGATGAAAGGAACTCTTTAGTGAGTGAGAAAAGAATCCAAGATAAATACGGTCTACGCCTGAGGGTTTGTTCCCACGTTGGAGGATGATTCTAGGCAGTCAATGGGGACAGAAAGTGATCCCTGTGGTAAAGCCCAGACCACAGAGAGCTGATGAAACAGATTGTATTGTGCAGTTAGTTTTCAGGAACTGAAACCGAAATACCCTGAATATGAGCTATGAGATCTAAGTCTGGTTCCGATATCAGCTTTCGAACACTAGGACCATGCCCAAATTCCGAAATAAATGCCCAGTGTTTCCAACACAGAGTCCTTCATAATCTGGAGATGAATGGAGTTTTGGAAACTTCCTGATAGCTACCTCCTCTCTTGAAATTCCTATGATAAACATAGGAAAACTAAATCCCATCATCGGTTTCCATCTCGTGATTGCTGCCTGTACATATTTGTGTTGATTTGCTTCATTGCTGGAGAACAAGACTGTGCAGAGCTACTGATGCTTCCTTCATGAACCCCAGGAAGTCACCACAGCAAGTCATTTCTGTGCCTTCTCTTTTTAGGATCTGTTCATTGATACTTCAGTACATGAGCTGTTATGAAAATCCATGCCTATAGTCTATATAGAAGATGTGATTTTTTATACATGAAATTGTGTTCTTAATGTTAAAAAGAGTTTATTTGTAGCTAGTGAAATTGCTTAATAAAGTCCTGGTACCAGTTTTTGCTTATTTTTCCCAATTTATATTCAGTCATGCTTCATTATCAACAACAAAATGGATCTCTCAAGTTGAATATGATTAAGAACATCTTCAAAAACAAAAAACAAAACCCAGGCATCGTCACATCAGGATTTTCTTGACACAAAAATGTTTCTGTGACAGTAACAGAAAACATTGCATGCTTTGGTTAAGCTAAAGTGTGTCTTAATGTTGAATGTAATTATCTTCTGATACCATCCCTTGGATGGTAAATATCAACACATAATATATAAATATAACTTATTGCTATTACAGAGCCTCTCAAGCTAGAAGCTTAAGGTGAGGGAAATCCCCTGATGAGCTCCCACTCTGTACAACACAGGAGACATCTGTTTCAGAAATAGAAATAGAGCTGCCTTTGTGCAGCACCAAATAGTCCTAATCATTGGAAGGTGCAAATCATGCTTTGCTAAAAAAAAATTCTAAATGCTATAATAGTACTATAAAGGCATCTGACAAAGAAATATAGTTAAAAATTCACTTTATAAATCCACTAGTTTTAGCTTGATTTCTATTGCTGTAAAAAGCAGCACCATGACCAAAAGCAACTTGGAGAAGAAAACATTTACCTCAACTTATAACTCCCAGGTCTATCACTGAATAGAGTCCGGGCAGGAACTCAGGATAGGAACCTGGAGGCAGAAATTGAAGTCAAGGCTGAAACCATAGAGAAAGGATACTTACCAGCTGTCCCTCCGGGGCTTGCTCAGCTTCCGTTTTTTCTACCGCCTAGAAACCTGACCAAAGGTCACCAAAAGTCATATAGCGAGATGGGCTTTCCTATGTCAATCATTAATCAAGGAAATGCCTCACAGATATGACTACCACTCAATCGGACAGAGGCATTTGTGTGTGTGTGTGTGTGTATGTGTGTGTGTGTGTGTGTGTGTGTGTGTGTGTGTGTGTGTTTGTCTTTCTGTTGTTGTTATCTTTGAAACAAGGTCTCACTATGTAGGTTTGACTGCCCTGGAACTATGAAGACCATGTCAGCTTCAAACTCATACAGATCAGCCTGTTTCTGCCTCCCAGAGGGCTGGGATTAAAGGTTTACCCCCACAATACCTAGCCCTTGAGAAAGGTTCTTAATTAATGTTTCTCTTCTCAGATAACTCCAGTTTGTGTCAAAGTAACAAAACCCATCCAAAACTATCTGTTACATATGTTGTAGGTTTATGACATTGGAAGATCTCTACATATAAAGCTATAATGATTTCTGAATTTAGGAAGTATCAATGTTCTACAAACACTCTTTGACACGATCACAGCTTTGCTTTCTTGGCAGACATTTCAATAGCCTTGTTCAGCAAATATTTATCCTACTACGTGACAGGCTCCCATTAAGCAAAGCAAGACATTTCTAAAATGTTCTTTAGAAAACTTGATAAAGTGCATATTTGATAGATTCTGACAAGATCTAACAAGTGACATGATTTTGCTCCCTGAAGAATCAAATAAACATGATCAATGACCTTTTCTATGTGTTATTTCTAAAGAGTAAAATGTTTAAATATAGGTTTATATTCCTGAGAACTAAAAAAGAAGCTCTCTTTCTTAATTCTTAATTCTAATTATTCATTACCAAAATAATTATGGTAGAAATGAGTTAGTATACCAACAGTAAATAAGATTAGCTCCTGATCACAATGGTACAATCTCAGCCACGATGACAGCCAGGGATTGAGAACTCTGAAAAAGGAGCAAATTTTCTCCACCCCTTGCCCTCAACTACCTTTTGTCCTCACTCCTTGCCCTCCTTTACCTTTTGTCTTCCCCTATCCATCATCCTTCCTCTACTCCTTTTCTGTCCTCTAAGCATTCTATTCCCCTATCCCTTCTTCTTCTAGTTCTATTGCTTCCTGTTGTCCTCCCTCTACCCCTTGTCCTCCCTCTACCCCTTGTCCTCTCTCTATTCCTTATCCTCTCTCTACACTTTGCCCTTTCTTCCTTTACTTTTAAGCTTCAAATGAAACTGTTTTAAATGTATAGATCCTGATCCATCACCAGTAAGATACCAATTGGACTTCTATACTTCTGTAAATAGACCCAGCAAATTAAAAGTATATCTACCTCATCTCCAGGGTCAAAATGAGGTGTTGGCTGGGGTCAAAGCAATACAAAAAACATCTGGAGTCAGGGTAGCATTTTTTTAAGAGGAAAAATGTGTGTCATAGAGTGGTAGAAGATTTTAACACTGACTTTGAACTTGAAGTTCGAATATGCCCTTTAAAAGGATCCCTAATAATGGCCACAGGAGAATTAGGTAATAAGAAATATTTAGTGTGATGGGATATCTACTATCACATCTGCCCATGGTTAAAAGTTTTTCTGGAAATATATGGGTTTATTAGGCAAATGTGAATCACAGTAAAATGACATTGAATTCCAGAAAGTGTGACTTACTGTTATAAGTAACAGGCAGAGGGGGGTGGTTTTTATGAACCCCTGTAGAATTCTGGGACTCTACAAAAGAAACAATTTTTCCTCATTGGAACGTGGAGCCCAACCACCTGGGGTTTTCACTAAGAAACAACTTAGAAAACCTTTGCTTCAACATAACAGTTTAAATATTATTAAATAATGACCTTTCATGTTAAGCAACAGCAACAATAACAAAAAAATCTTTGATGTAAGTATTGCAAATTAAAATCACAACTTCACTATGTTTATATTCCCAGGTGACACTAGGCATTGAAAGACCTTTGAAAACACTTAAATTGTTCAGTTGTGCCTTAATCAAACCCAGACAAGAACCATATAAAGCCCACACATGTGCTAAGAGCTCTTAGGTGGCAGTGAGAGTTGAAACAGAGGAAGGCAGTAGCACCCCTGTCTTGTTCCCTTTGAGGAGCATTGAGAATCGAGGGGTAATTTCAGAGGAAATGTTTCAGATGGTACTGTCGGAAGTGTACAAAAAGCCTGTTTCTTAACTGTGGCATTCATTATAAACCTTTGTGGAGATTATCCTCCAATACTTGATTTATAATGCATATGTATTGGAAGCACTAAGAAAGAATGACGAAGAGATCATAATTTTGAATTACAAGAAAATTTCTTGTTAAAATTCTCCATCCCTCACTTTTCTGTGCATACAAATGAGACTGCATTAATATGTTAACTCCAATCATACCTGCTTCCTGCTTTCACACAATACTCCTGCTGTTGCTATAGGAATTCATGGTGTTTCCTCTCTGTTTAATAGACACCTCCATGGCCACAGTAGGCTATGGGCTGCTAGCGACTTTTAGGCAATGATGACCTTTGAAGTCTCCTGTCTCTAATCCTTCTCACCAAGACCAAAAACTTGTTAGTGGACATTATTGATACCCAGTTAGGCATCAATAGGAAAGTACAGGAGTACATTTGTCATAGGGGTGGGTAGTCTGTGGTCACATCGGACTCTTCCCCATTTATTTGACACCATAATGAAGGGGCTTCAGGGATATAGCGAATCCATGAGAGCCTGTTTGAAGGGGTAATATGGATTCATTAGCATACACAACAAGATAAATGGCCAATGTGGTCCTCCGTTTTGCCCAGGGGTGAATGGAAACAACAGTCCCATCTCAGACCTCTGCATGAGAGGGAGAGAGCATGCAAACAACTACCCCCCTCTTTGCTTTTAAGAGGTCAGGTTCGCACACAAGAAGCATCACCTCTATCGGGCCAGACAGGTCAAGGTCATGGATGGAGCAAATACCCACTACACAGGGCCCTTATATCTTTTTTTTAATTAAATTGATTTCTTATAAACAGTTTTTTTTCCCTCCCTCTCTTCCTCCTGCTCCCATAACCTTTCCCTCTTCCCAACCCTCATCCATTCCTCAGTGAGGGTAAGGCTACCCAAATGGAGCCAACAAAGTCTGACACATCACTTTGAGGCAGGACTGAGGACCTCCCCACTATATCTAGGCAATGTACCCCTCCAAAATGAATGGGTTGTAACTCGCCAGTTCAGTGGTCCCACAGACTGTCCAAGCCACAAAACTGTCACCTGCATTCAGTGGACCTAGTTTGGTCCTATGCAGGTTCCTCTCTCCCCACTGCCAGTCCAGAGTCAGTGAGCTCTCACTACCCTGGGTAAGCTGTTTCTGTGGGTGTCCCCATTATGGTCATGACCCCTTGCTCATATTATCACTCCCCCATCTCTTTTACTGGTCTCTGGAAGCTCAGTCCAGGGCTTAGCTGTCTCTCAGCATTTGTTTCCGTCAGTTGCTGGATGAAGGTTCTATTATGAAAATTAAGGTAGTCTTCAATCTGATTACAGGAGAAGGCCAGTTCAGGTATCGTCTCCACTATTGCTTAGGGTCTTACCTGGGTTTATTCTTGTGGATTTCTGAGAGTTTCCCTAGTGCCTGATTTCTCGCTAGCCCCATAATGACTCCCTCAAACAAGATACCTCTTTTCTTGCTCTCCCTCTCTGATCCTCCCCCACCTCAACCATCCTGTTCCCTCATATTCTCCTTCTTCCTCCCTTTCTCCCCTCCCCCTCCCCTTCTGCCCTCCCTTCTACCCCACCCCCCAATTTCTCAGGAGTTCTTGCCTAATTTCTCTTCCCAGGGGGATCCATATTTATCTCTCTTAGTTACCTTCTCTTTGTTACCTCACTTCTCCGGGGTTGTGGACTGTAGGCTGGTTATCCTCTGCTTTACATCTAATATCCACTTATGAAGGAGTAGATGCCATGTTTGTATTTCTGGGTCTGTACTTTTTGGAAATCAATCTACCTTATGACCCAGCAATACCACATTTGAACATATACCCAAAAGATGCACACTCATACCACAAGGACATTTGCTCAACTATGTTTATAGTAGCATTATTTGTAATAGCCAAAACCTGGAAACAACCTAGATGCCCCTCAATCAAAGAATGGATAAAGAAAATATGGTACACTGACACAGTGCAGTACTACTCAGTGGTTAAAAAAAAAGAAAAAACAAAGGCATCTTGAAATTTGCTTGCAAATGAATAAAACTAGATAAAAGGCCTTTACATCTTAATGATTATCTGAGATTAGAGAGATAGTGCATTCTATTTTTAGATAGAGTTCTTTGTCTTTGTCTTTCTATCTACAAACTGGGGAAAGAACATGAGATGTGCAATAGCTAATCAAGTAAAGGTGAATGTCACCAAGATGGAGGACAAGATGGAGGACCTGCATTTGATCTCCTGGACCCATGTAGTAGATACGATCTCCAAGGATTTTAAGTACACACGGAAGTCCTAAAAGACATTGCTCACAAACAGGCAGGACAAGTGCACACAGGTCACTCCTATTCTGTTTGCAACCATAGCAGTGACTTGATAAGGTAGCAATGTTGGTTGCAAAGGAAAACTGAAGCTCTGCTACAAGAAACCAAACAAACAAACAAAAGAGAAAAATGAAAGTGTTCTAGTCTGGCCCAACGAGAAGAGCTGTATTCTGCAAAAGCCCCACAGACTTCTGAAGCCAAGGCAAGGCGTGTGTGTCTATTTCATGAACTCAGTAGGTTTGCCTCATGTTCATTCATAACCATTCTGAATTCTAGAAAAAAATGAAACACTAAAAATAAACATTAATGAACTTCTAAACTTTATTTTTCAGGTTTTTGTGCTTTTCACTTTAAATTATTTTAAACTTCCAAGAGCAAAATATTAGCAAAAATATATACAACTTTTTCTTAGAGTAATTTTAAATTTAATTTTTAAATATTAAGTTCTTATAACCTTGGGACTATTGTTTC